CATTAATTCCTGAAATATTTAAATATCCTTTTGCGTAATCTATTTTTGACGAAGTTTGTCTGAAAAAATCGTTACCTAATATGCCGGATTGCGAAATTGGGAAATCGTTTGACACGATATGGAAAATAATATCTTTTTGAAAAAGGGGTAAATTTATTTCTCCAAGCGTATAGACAGGATATTCATTTATACCGTTTAATTTTAAAATATTATTATAATTAACAATACTATTTTCGGGCACGAAATCTTCTTTAATTATATTCGGCCCAGAACCGGTATCTAACATAAAGGTTACGGGTGGTGAAGATTTGCAAAGATTTACCTGAACGGTAGGCACGCGACTATGCTTATCGAGGGTCACCGTTACAGGACGTATTTCTGAAGCGTTTTTGCTTATTGGACCTTTTTCGATGTCGACGGGTGTGAGGCTCGCTCGGGCCCCTGTTGCACACCCGGCTTCAAGGAGCCGTCGGAGTTTCCCTGTTCGTTCATTTCTCTTCTTTTATTGCTAGCGAGTAATTCACAACTTTCGAGGAGATGTCCTTGTCCCTTACAGTATCGACAGAATAATGAGCTGGAAGGTGCCACACTTTGCCCTATCCTAGCTCGACAATCTTTAGCAACATGTCCAAAATTATTGCAAATTTGACAAATGACTTTTGTTTTGTTTTGTGTATTATGTTGCTCATTTTGTTTTTTCCAACAATTACTAGCCGAATGTCCTGGCTTATCACACCACTGACAGATTACCGAAAGTTTACTTTGATTGTTACTATTATTGTTTGTTCGACAATTCTTAGCGTTATGGCCAGACATAGAACATAATTGACAAACAATGCTATTTGCCTGTAAAATATTAACGGATTGCTTTGCTTGAGGATTACGAAGCCGACATTTGTCAGCGCTATGTCCCCGTTTTTTACAAATCTGACATATTAAAATCTCTGTTCCACTGTTAATTAATTTTCTGCAATTTGAAGATAAATGTCCTTCCTTATAACAAATCTGGCATATTTCTCGAAATTTATTAATATTTATCGTTTCGTTTGAGGTTCCTTCTCGACCACGTCGTAAATCTGTCATTGTGTGAAGTTCTCTCTCTACTCGTAAGGCGTCTGCTACTGTTTCTTGGACACCCAAATTTCTCGCTATTCTTTGTTCAATTTCAGGGTTTAAGCCCCTAATAAAACATTTACACATATCTTTTTCTAAGGACAGT